TACAGTTTAACAAGATCCCCAGGTGATTCTTATGTATAATAAATTTTGACTGCTCTACTAATGGTTCTACTAATGGTTCTCAGAACTGGTCCCTAACCAGCATCATTAGCATCACCTGGGAACTTGTTAGACATGCAAATTCTCAGCAAGGGTTCGAACCGGAACAAACCGGTTCGAAGCCCTGGATAATTCCCTCTGCAAGTCATACAGAATTAACAGCATATGCTCTTTATTATCATTTATATGTATTTCTTCTTGTCTTCTAATCTTCTTAGAGTTTCTGTGACATCAACCAATAGTACTGTCGCTTGAGCAGATTTTTAAAAAGGATTCCAGGAGCAATTAGCAATCAAAATCACCCAGAAACTAAGACTGTGACAACACTCTAGGCGTATGCCTAAGCAAGTAACACCACACACCAGTTGCTATTGAGTCCATCCTTACTCATAGCAACCCCAGGTGTACAGGCATAGAAATGTGTTCCATAGGGTTTTCAAGGACTGATTTTTCAGAAGTAGACTGTCAGGCCTTTCTTCTGAGGTACCTCTGGGTAGACACGAAAACTCCCTTTCGGTTAGCAGCAAAACGCATTAACTGTTTGCACTACCCATGGACTCCTGAGTTTACTGCCCAATAAAACTCCCTCTTCTGTCAATAAGCTTGACTTTCAAAAGAGAACAGAACCCTCTCCTCTGAGACAAATTAATCGTGGAGTCAAGGTTTGCAACTTTCTTCGTCACCCTCACCCCTCCTGTGGTAAATTCAGAATTAACGTATAATCATTAGTAATATTTCCCCCACAGGTAACCTCCAAAATGAGGTTTGCAGTGTGACCCTTGATGGGTGGCAATAACTAGTAAGACAATTCCAGCACACTTTAAAATCAATGTAATGTGAAAACCAATGGTGAGCTCAGTTGCTAAAGGTATATGCAGCATCCGCAATTTCAATTATCAGCAGTATTCCACGCAAATAAGGAGGCTCTTTTAAAACTGCATAGTTTTGCCATCCAATATCATCTTCTAGTAAGGATGTGTGCCTAAACTGTCAGACTGTGTCCTCTTAATTGAAAACACAACATTCAATGTTATTTTCTCAAATGCATTATTTGGAATTTGGAGATTCTCCAAGGCCCATCCCATGTGCAAGAACCTTCCACATCGAAATCTGGAGAGTTCATACATACAGCTAGTTTCCAGTTGATGCTGGCAATAAACATCTGCAGATGTACAAAAGCAGAATGAAAAAGCAAAGTGGGATTACAGCATCATTTGGGCTGAAGGCAAAAATTGGAAATAGTTAAAAAAATTTCACTACTATGAACCAAATTAGCATTATTACTGATATCCTCCTTTTTAAAATGAGTTTTTAGTATTTAAGCACCTTGACTAAAGAGTAGGAAAGGGCCTGTGAACTTACCTAGTTCAACTTCCTTTCCAATTTCATTTTTGGGAATAAAATGAACACTATACATCCAATTTGGATTAATTTAGATGTTAAATTCAGTACATTTGCAAAGCAAAATCAAGGAATTTTACCTGTACAGTTTGAAACTATGAACTTTTGTCTTTGATAGAGACCCAGAACTATAAACTTTCCCCAAATTCCACACAATGACAATATTATGTATACAGTATATAATAATGACTTACCAAGTCATATAAACTGCTGAAAACAAGTGGAGTAAACAACTATCATTCATTATTCCTGAATCCAAAGTCTGCTGGGTCTGTCTTGGACATATACACAGCTGAACACACACTTCCTGGTTATGCGCAATCTGCATAGATAGACCAGCTTTACAGGCCTGACCATAAGAGATTAATAGCTTTAGCCAAATAATGTGGTAACCATGTGAACCTGGGCTGCTCCAGCTTGTTTGTGAATCTCTCAGCAAGGCTCAACATGCTGTTATCTGCATCTTGTTGCCAGGAAACACAACATCGTTTTGGAATACAAGGAAAACCAGGTTGCAATGACCGCAGGTCAACTTCCCAAAAGCCTAATTTTTGACACTTAGCAATCTACAATCTTAGAACAGTTCCTCCTGTAGTCCATGGAGAACCTCACTTCACTAGTAATTAAGTTATATGTTTTGCTATTTTTATCAGGGCAGGACCAGAGGCTAGCACCTATTATCATGAACAATTTAGTAGTAGAAGGAATTATAATAATTTACTTATACTTTTCCTCTAAAGCCAAAAACAACCAAACCCACTGCCATAGAGTTGATTCTGACTCATAGCGACCCTAAGTGTCAGATAAACATTAGTTTACTTTGTTAAAACTGATACGAAAATCAAGCATCCGCTGCAACTACTTTAAAACTGATCCAACAATGCATGCTTACGGGTCTATGTCTATGCTTCAGCTTAGTAATCTTACCAAAGGATAAAATACCAATATGCTACTGTCCTAAGAGTTCCTAGATTTTCTGGGATCAACATGCCTCTCTTGCCTTGCTCACGGTAACAGAATGTAATGTGTTGGACAATAATCTTGCTAGTTTCTTCCTAACCAATTTAAACAGACAGAAACTTAATGTACCAAGATACTGAAGTACTCAACAGACTGGAAATTTGCCTCATAAGAGTGAAGTGGGAGGCCACTGCTCTGCAGTTTTGCAATCTGGAGAAAGAAGGATTAGAGTCGCTTTGAGAGTTTATAAAATTAATTACCCTTGACAAAGCAATTAGAATTGCTAGCACATGGGCAACAGAAGAATTTTGGACAATAATTTATTTAAAAGATTTTAAACATAAAACGGGAAACACTCTCTCTCTTTCCAATCTGGCTTTAAAAAAAAAAAAGTTAGAAGTATTTAGGTTTACTATAGGATCTAAGAAAAAGTCTTTGTTATTCAAGCGAAGTAGAATCTTCAATGCATTATATTACCAAAATAATACATTTATGTTCAGGAATCTACATTCTTGATATGACCTTACTTTTATTCCAAGGGGTCTGTATAATACTTCTGAACTTGGGTCTTACTCTGTTTTTCATCCTGTTCCACACTTCCCTTTTGAATCACAAGATGCAAAGTTTCCGTCTCATGACAATTAAGGTTGCTAAAAAGACACAGAGCTCCTGAGTGGTGCAAACTGTTAACACCCTCTCAGCTGCTAACCAAAAGGTTGGAGGTTCAGAGTCCACCCAGAGGCGGCTCAGAAGAAAAGGCCTAGCAATCTGCTTCCACGAAATCAGCCACTGAAAACCCTATGGGGCACAGCTCTATTCTGACACACATGGGCTCACCATGAGTCAAATCGACAGCAACTGGTTTTTTAAAGACACACAGAAAATAGCAAATGCTTTATTACATACATATTCACCACACATACACACACACACACAAAAGATGGATTAGTGAAAAGACAGAAGCATGGAAAGATGGACAGATTTGTGATAAAGCATATGTAGCAAAATGTTGTAGAACCTAGGAGATGGGTACATGGGTGTTCAATGCACAATTCTTTCCATCTTTTAGTATGCTGGGAAATTTTCATAATAAAATACTAGAGGGGAAAAAAAACAAAACAAACCCACACAGATCTGTGTACTACCTTACTGAAAACCACTTACCCAATACTAAACGGAGGAAGAGGAGAGAAAAAATTTAAAAAAAAAAACAAAAAACCGGGTTTCTATAATGTCAACAGTGCCCTGGCACCCAGAATCCACATTAGAACACAGAAGGCTAACATCAAAACTAAGAGAATTAGACAACTTGGAAATGGTTCATCACTACAATTTCCTGACTCTCTGTGCACCTGGGTGATAGTAAGACAACTGATACGTGAACAAGGGGACTCTCAAGGACTTTCTTCTCCTGGACTTCTGGGTTATTTAGGACTCAGTGTATCCTCCCCCCATACGGATCACACCTCCCAGTACTACACCAGACCATTCCTTATCTGGGAGGCTGTCAGGTTACCCTCTTGGTCACCCAAGTCGGGTAGAACAGGCAGAAGTCCTCTTCTCCCTCACATAATTTCAATCCTTACTCTTGGTCATACACAAACAGCTATCTATTAACATCATACATTTTAACTCCTACACTACAGGAGAAACAACTCAGAAATACAAAGATTAATGGTTGTTATACAGCCATTTTTTGCACTAGCAACCTTACATGTTGTAGCTATCATTTTCTTCCTCATTTCAAACTTCAATTAAAGAATTTGGTTGTGAAAATTTCAGTTTCCTATTAGAGAATATTGCCTGGACTTCCACATCAAAGATGAATTACATATATATATATCTTACATAACAAAGCATAAGGATACTTGCTTTTTACCTAAGTGATAAACATACCCATAAACATCACTCTTCCCCCTTCACTAATTGTTATATGACTCCTCCAGGTTTTTTTTTTTTCCAAAACCTAAACTGTGCGACAATTTATTTTATCGGTAAAATAAATAGAATAATAAACTTAATGGCAATAAGCTTTAAGGAAATTAATAAAAGACAATGTGTTTGGGCATGATTCAGAAGTTTGGAAGAAGCTTCTAAATCATTCATAGAAATGCTTTTTTACCATTCAAATGAAAAAAGGACTGTAAAAATCTCCAAATATACTGTTTTCCTTTTAAAAATAGCAACTATTCAATATACAAAACTTTGATAATATATGAATTAGGCAGTCATTATTAACGTTATAAGGTTTTCCATGAATTTTCTTTCAGAAGCAACCTCTCCTGTACGATTGAAATAGTATTTGATTCACAACATTCAATGTATATGCAACTTCTCAGTCACACATATATTGCAGTGACATCTGAATTGTTCAAATCATAAAACCTTCATTGTCTGGCTAGAAAAACAGGCTGCATTCAACTACCATGAAAAATCAGGATAGCATAAAGCCAAAAGAGTGACAGTAGAAAAAAGCCTAAAATCTTGTTACTTCTGAAAGAAACCATTCCACTAAATTTTTAGCCTCTTTACCTTCTCTATAGCATTTAACAGAAGTCTTACAAGCTATTATAAATACATACCCATACTTCATTCTCATTCTATCATTTTCCGGATTACAGTAAAATCTTTCCAAGTGCTCCTGGGAATCATTGGATACACTCTGCCACTTCTGAGTAGTTGTTCTCTTGATCTGCCAGTGATATGGCAATACCGTATGGTGTTTCAAACAATCCCTGCCATAAATACAAGTGCCTTGCAAAAAGTCCATGCAAATTTCAATTCCATTTTCTTGGTGAGTGTGGTACTGTAACTGGTTCACCAGCTCAAACACAAGGTCAAGGGAAGCCTCTTCACTTTTGTCCTGGAAGAGTTCAGTACTCAACTTATCACTGGTGTCCAAAATGTACTGGATCGTAAAACTGTTGTCTTGGAAAACCCCTGGAACATAATCCATGACTTTGTCTATGCAGTCAGGACTAGAAGGAACATCACTTGAAACTGGGTGTAAAAGGTCAGTCTGGAAGTGTCCTGCTGTAGAATCTGCCACTGTCCCACTGATGGTTTCCGGTGGAAAACTGTGACCCTGGATGGGAACCACTTGTTCTGGAGCATCAGCAGAAGGATGGGCTTCTGGTATTTGGCCCCCAACACTTGTCCCATCAGGAATCAGGACAGACATACTATTTTCTGTTGGTGGACAAGGTGTATTGATTTCCAAGGGCTTTTTCACAATAGATTCGTGTAAGCTGCTCTCATCTGCACTCTGATTTCTAGGTCTGAAAACTTCATCAAGTGAACCAGATTCTAGCAAAGTGTTTAATATTGGCCTCAAAGACCTCAGAGTTCCAGTTCCCAATCTCTTCTGATCTGGCTTTTTCTTAAAACAAGTCTTCAATGGAGTGATCTTCTCAGAGAGTCTCATTTGGCATGAAAAGTCATCAGTAGGAGAGGGAGGCTGCACTACACAGTCTGGCTCAGATTCAGTGGTTTCCATTTCCATGATGGCTATTAGCTCCAACTGCTCCTCAGAGTCTAAAAGTCCTACCAGGAAAAGAAGAAAGATGAGCATTTACAAAATGACAACTAGACCCCATGCATTCATCAAAATGTTTTGGTCTGTGACTGAATTCCTGAAATCACTCCTCTTGCACTATAGTCTTTACAGGTCAGTTTTAAATTTTGACAAATCAGGGCCCGAAAGCATCCAAGGCCTTTTAAAAGCTCACAGCAGGTAAAGGCAGAAGAGAAATGGTGTCTTCCAACAGACCCTTGGCATTTATTTGTGGTCATAATATACAGCAATTTATAATTCTGCTGCGGTATGAATTTTTATTGTAAGGCCAGGGCAGGGCAGAGGGGGGAAGATAAATAAGTGTGTCTTATTTCTATTGACAGTGGGGAAACCACATCTCCACTTGGTTTTGTAGTTCTCTTCACAGTTATTTATGTATCACCTGCCTCATGAGGTGATAAAAACTGTTTGCGAAAGAAAAAGTTCCTCAAATGAAGGATATATATCAAGGTTAAAGTGAATCTGGTGTATTTACACAGGAAACAGGGGCTCTCAATTGAAATGTTATATGGTAGAAAGCTAAGAGCCTGTAGAAGCATTTCCATATTCAGAAAGTTCCAATATATTCCCCAAGAATGTTAAGGGTCTACTTCTGCAATCCCCCAAATGTTACCACTACTGGAGGAATACCAAGGCCTGTTAGCAACATAAACCACAGTAGCAGCAACCACAGCACGCTGTGTTAGAAACCAAACAAAATTTCGTAACACAGAAAGGGCCTCTTAGTCTTCATCTTCAGTAAAATTACACATATATGCATTTCTTTAAAAGGCCAATGAAGGGATATTATAAAAAAAAACAGAACACAAAGAATATGAAACACATAAAACCCTAATACTTTCAGATTCCTAACAACTGTTGGAAGATACTAAAAAATTGCTTTGTTGGAAGAATCAGACCCCTTGAAAAAAACTAGAGCTTCAAGTAAAAAGCAAAGAAAACTTTTATAAATAAAAGATGGTGTCTCCCCCACTATCTAGCATTCATTAATTATTTCTGGAAATATTTACTGACCAGGTGGGAAAGGGATGGTGACAAGCAATTAATCCTCTTTCGTCCAATAGACTGAAAGATTTTTGATGCAAGGGCCCATGACTTAGTCAAATACGCATCCCAGGTGCCACTACAGTGCACAACGCTCACAGTAAGTGCTCAGTAAATACTGGTTAGCTCAATAAATATCGGTTGGATTACTGAATAAAAAGCATTAAGTACCTATTAAATGCCTGGTTCTGTTAGCTTTTATGGGTTAACAACAACAACAAAAAACCAGAATTGAGTCCCCCCCAAAAAACGAACATTAAAATCTAATTGGGGAGATCCATGAATTTACATGTGTAAAAAGTGCATAATGATCAAAATGAGAAAATAAAATAAAAAGCACGGTACATAACAAGGTGTTGATGCACATGGCCAAGTGCAAAAGGAAAAGGTAGAAAAAGGAGAGTTCCGCGTGAGCTGGCATTGTTAGGCAAAGCTTCACGAAGAAAGAGGGACTTGACACGAGACATAAATCAAGTGGAAGGCAGCCAAGCCAGGCGTTATTATTCATCACTCAGTGCTCTTGCCTCAAGGCACAATTGGCACAGATTGTGGTATTCCCTCTCCACCACACCAAACCGGCCTGCGCCTCCCCCCACGCACACACACTAACCACTCCTATCACACCCAATCGAGACTGAACAGATGCAAAACCCATTTCACTTATTTCTGTGTGTATAAAACAACTTTGCCCGTCATCGCCCTTCGTCGACAAACTCTCGAGGCAAAACTGGGGAAGAGGAGGCAGAAAGCTGGCGGAGTGGCTGTAGTGAGGAAGCCACCAGAACCCAGTTCCTCAATTAGTTTGCATAACAGAAAAATAAACATTGGAGGGACACTTCCTCCGCTGCAGGCGACCCACCGCGCCACCCTCGCCTCGTGACGCCCCCGTTCTCTCGCCCCTTCCATAGGAACGCCCGTCCCGTTCGCGGCAGGCTCGGGGCCCGCCGGCCGCCGCGCGACACCGGGCGCCGAGCCCGGGTCCGAGTGTCGCTCCTGCGGGCCCGGCCGGCCGCGGTGCCCCGAGCATCCCCGGCTCGCGTCGGCCTCCCGTCAGCCCGCCGCGCGTCCCTGCCGATCTCCTCACACGTTCTTTCTCAGACGTCCTTCCCCGGACAGCGTCCCGCGCGTCTCGGGCTCGCAGAGCGGACCCGGGAGAGACGCGGCAGGCGCTGCCGCGCGGGCGAGGACGGCGACGCGGACTTCCAACCCCTTCAAAGTTCACCTCAAAGCCGCCCCAAACTTGAGGGCTGCAGCCGCAGCGCGGGGTCGCCGGAGGCTCCCGCCGGCGCCAAGCCCTCCTTGCGCCTCAGCCGGGGTCTAAGCGGCGGGAGCGGCCGCATAGACGCGCCGCCCGCCCTGAGAGGATCCGCGACGCGGCGGCCCCGATTAAACCCTTTCACGTAATCGCCCGGTTTATCCACCTGCCAGAAGTCCAAGTGACCGAGAAGTGGAGCGCAATCCTGACACTGGCGGAGCCGAGCGAATTCGGCAGAGAAGCAGACGCTGAAAATCAGTCGCCCTGCGTCCGCGAGAGCCCGGCGCACGCCGGCGCGGCAGGCTGGGAGCGGGCGCGGGGCCGCGAGCCCGGCGCCCCCACTCCGGCAGCCCCTCCCGGCCCCTCAGCGCCCTCGCCGAGCCTTTTACCTCCACAGGCTGCCTGAGAGGACGCACCACCGGAGTCGCGTCGCGGCGCTGTCGGCTCGCGGGCAACCTCCGCGCCGGACGTCGGCGTCTAGGGGTCGCAGCCCGGCGACGCCGCGAGCCGTGCAGGGGCCATTCGGCCGCGGCGAGCGCAGGAAGCCGCGAGCGCAGGAAGCCGCAGCCGCGCTCGCACTCCGGCTCGCTCGCCTGTCACCTCGAGCTCTGCTTTAAAGTGGCTTCCGGTCGCCTCCTCCCGGCGGCCCCGTCGCGGGGGCGGAGCTTGTGAGGCGGGGGCGGGGCTGGCTGAGGGGGGGGCCGGGCGCTCAGTGGGTGCCGGGAAGAAGGCCCGCCCCGCGCGCGCGCGTGCGCTTTGGCGCACAGGGGCGGTGGCGCGCGGGCTCTGCGTGCGGCGGCGGTGCGCTCCCGCGAGGGGGCGTGTCCTTCCGCGGGCGGGCGGTGACTCGGGGGGCCCGCGTCTACGCGCTTTGGGGAGCGCGCCACTGTGAGGAAGCGAGGGGCGCGCCGCGTGGGGCGGGCTCCACCTGCTTGCTGACAGATGGAGGGTCACTTTGTTCCGAGAAGACCCGGGCACCCGAGGGAGGATGTGAAACGGAACGACCCGTTTCGGTGCGGTTGGCTTGTTTATTTGCCTCCTCCCAGGACGCCTCAGTTCCTGACAACAGCGGACCCGAGAGCACGCCAACGACTGCAGCCGCCGCCGCCGCTGGACGGGCCGGACGGGGTCGCGGGCGTTCCTGATTCACGGGAAACGTACGAGGAACGTACGCGGCCTCGCAGAGGGGAAGCCTGGCTCTGAGGTTTTGTCGATAGACGCCCACAGACACTGTAGTGACTTATTCAGCAAAATTGGTTGAGCATCTACTACGTGCCAGGCGTGCACTAGACTTGAGGCTGCAACCCTGGTCAGCTCAGACACCATGCCTGTCCTCGTGGACTTTGCAGAACACCCTGTTCCAAAAACCGTAAAACCAAACCCGTTGCCTTTGAGTTCATCCTGACTCACAGCGACGCTATAGGACAGAACTGCCCCTGTAGGGTTTCCAAGGCTGTAATCTTTACCGGATGACGTTTCGGTTAGCAGTTGAGTACTTAACCACTGTGCCATCAGGGCGCCGTCCTCCAAGAATAGGCAGCAGAAAAGGAGTGTCTGTCTAAAGGCAGGAGTACTGCTTGGGGTAGATGGATAGGGCAGTATCTCCAGGTAGCTGGTACCATCAGGGAGAACAGGGAACCACCAAGCCCAGAGGAGGAGCCACAGGGGCACTCAGGCATGGCCTGCATATCACTGACTCCTACCACAAACAATGATAAGCACAGACCAGTGGAAGCTGATTCTGTCCCTGCCTCCAACGGATCACCCAGGGAGAGGCATCTAGTGACAGATAACCTCACAATGAAGATTCACCAATTATTTGAGAGCACCAAATGACAGGCTGAAGAACTTACCCTGAAGAAAGTAGAATTGATTGTATAATCATATCAAGACTTCATAAGTTTAATTAACATCTTCACTGAGTAAAGGAATTTATTGTGTCCATGAAACAGCAATTGTAAAAAAGACCAATTAGAGCCTTTGGAAATGAAAGATAAAAGGCTGAATTGCAACAAAGACACAAAGATTGAAGTAGTGCACCAGAGGACTGGGCTAGGAATTCTCTCATTACACGGCACTAAAGTACTTTGGACATGTTATCAGGAGGGACCAGTCCCTGGAGAAGGACATCATCCTTGGTAAAGTAGAGGTTCACCGGAAAAAGAGGAAGACCCTCAACAAGATGGATTGATACAGTGGCTGCAACAACGGGCTCAAGCATAACAACGATTGTGAGGATGGCACCAACTCGACGGCACCTAGTAACAACAAAGTATGAAAGATAGAAGTTAAAAAATAAAAAGTTAATTAACATGTAAAATAGATTTAGAAGTTCACAGTGGTTAAGCGTTTAGGTCAGCAGTTCAAATCCACCAGCCACTCCTTGGAAACCCTATGGGGCAGTTCTACTCCATCCTATAGGGTTACTCTGAGTTGGAATCAACTCGCCGGCAATAGGTTACTATCTGTTAGGATTTGCCAGAAACGGAAACAGAATTAAAGTAGTGGAGGCAAACGTGAAGAAAGTATAGCTGAGAATTTCCCTGAACTGAAGAAAACAAATCCTTGTATTGAAAAGGCTGAACAGGGTTAAATTAAAACAAACAACAGCAAAACCCCTTCACGCTATTGAACATTCAGGATAAAATAGAAAATTCTAAAATTTGCTAAAGAAGGAAAAAAATTGCCTACAAAGGAATGAGAATCCTGTTAACTTTAGATTTATCAGTGACGCCCTTGCGAGAAGACAATATAACAAGTAACTTCAAAGAGATGAAGAAAAAGAAGTGCAAGGCACGATAGGCACAGTAGGATGGCCTTTTACATGCTAAGCAGTGCACCTGAGGGCAAGCCAAACTGCCATATCTCTCAGAAGAAAGACATTTCAAAAGCAGTGAGAGGCTTGTTTGACCGTTGCATGTGTTGCGTTTGAGAAGGGAAGAATCCTTGTTATTGGCTAGAAGCTTTCTGTTAATAGTGAGAAAGTGCCAACATTAAAACTTGCAGAATGAGTGTTAGCAACTTGAAAAAAAGCCGCAGAGACAATAGTAGAGCACTCTGATAGCAAGTGCTGCATCACCAACACACTTACGGCACGCTGACATCAATGGCTCTGACATGAAAAGTGAGTCAGTCCCTGGACGAATACCTTAAATTTATTTTGCGTATATTTTCCTTTTTTTTTTTTTTTTTAATGCATAAGAGTGACATATGGTCAACCAAACCAAAACAAACCCATTGCCGTCGATTCCGACTCTGTCTACAGGACAGAGTAGAACTGCCCCATAGAGTTTCCAAGGAGCAGCTGGTGGTTTCAAACTGCCAGCCTTTAGGTTAGCAGCCGAGCTCTTAGCCCCCAGGGCTCCATATGGTCAACATATATTTCTAAATAAATCTACAAGAACTCTTTCAATAAATGTAAAAAAATTAGAAGTAATCAGAAAGCATTACGTCGTACTTTATTTGGTAGTGTCTTTTTTTCCTAATGTTGCTGTTGAGTCAGTTCCTACTCACGGCGACCCCAACTGTGCAGAGGGTTTCCAAGGCTGTGACCTTTCGGAAGCAGAAGCAGAGCACTAGGCCTTTCTTCCAAGGCACCTCTGGATGGGTTCCAGCCGCCAGCCTTTCAGTTAGTAGTCCAGCTCTTAACCATTTGCACCACCCAGGGAATCCTTCCTCCTAGTAGTACATAAAATAATAATGTGTCTTAGAATCTATAGCATCTTAGATGCAATGAAATATAGTAATTGATAGAAAATTGGTGCCAGAAGTGAGATGTTAAAAGTAACAACTGAATTGAGAAACTGGCTCAGTGGAGGAGGTAGAAAGGCTAGTATGCTGGTTACCCTTGCTATGCAGACATAAAATGTTTGGTCAGATTGTCTCCTGCTGTACCTTGCGACCAGAGCCCTGGTAGTGCAGTGGTTAAGAACTCAGCTGCTCACGAAAGGTCAGCAGTTCGAATCCACCAGCCACTCCTTGGAAACCCTATGGGACAATTCTACCCTATCCTATAGGGTCTCTATGAGTCGGAATCGACTCAACGGCAAAGGGTTTGTGTTTTTTTTTTTTGTTTGTTTGGTAATTTGAGACCACATGTTATGTAAGCTTACAGTGATGGTGGAAATGGTTGAAGAAATTCAGAGTGTTGCTGCTGCTTATTGCTTCTTTCAGCAAAGCTCTACAAGGGAGGGAAGAAAGAGTTTGCCAGTCAGCTGACAAAGATGGAAAGAATACAGCTTTGCAGAGGCTCTATGCCTGTGGCCTGAAATCTAAATTGACTGTGAATTCCATAATTTAGAGCCTTTCTGGGTTGAAAAAGCCAACTATTACTTTTTCCCACCCGGAAGCCTGTAAAAATAGCAGCTAAGAGGTGGTAGTAATAGATATGATTATGGCTCCGAGCCTTTCCAAAATTGTTGTAAACCAGATTGGGTGAGCACACCAGCAAAGAATAGATTAAGGGTGGCATATCCCTCGTAGGTTTGCATTTCAGATTGCATCAAGGCAGGGCCATTAAGCTAAGGTGGGAATAATCTGGGCAGAATTCAGAGGCCAACAGGTAAAAAACAGAAACCTTCAGACTTAAAAACTATATTGAGACAAGACCTTGGTCTGTGCCTACTCATATGTGGAATTGCCTAGAAGGAAATATTTGAGTTTAAATCTACCATCTTACTATTTTCTATTTTTCTCACCTGTTCTACACTCCTTTTTCTTTCTTTTCATGCCTTCTTTTTGATTAAGTATTTTTAAATTCCATTCTTTCCCAACAATTAGGTTATTTGTTATAATAATTCTTTTTCATCGTGAATTAAAATACCCTTTTATATTATTATTTTTTTAATACTACTTTACTGTGTTTTCGGTGCAAGTTTACACAGCAAATTAGGTTCCCATTTGACAATCTCTGACAAGTTGTCCAGTAACATTGGTTAATTTTTCACAATATGTCAACATTCTTATTAATTGCATTCTGGTTGTTCCATTTCCGGTACTCTAGTTTCCCTGTCCCCCGCTTATCTTCTCATCTTTGCTTTAGGAGTAATTGTTGACCTTTTGGTCTCATATAGATGGTTTTTTAATGGAGCCCCATACTCACGGGTGATATCCTTTGTTTTGGGTGCCAATCGTTGTTTCTCAGAAAGGTGACCTCGGGATAGTTTTGGTTCAAGGTTTAAAGAGTATCTGAGGGCAATAGTCTCAGGGAGTCCCTCAGTCTCAAGTGGTCCAGTAAGTCTGGACTTTTTAAGACTTTGAATTCTGCTCTGTGTTTTTCTCCCCTTCTATCTGAGTCCATCTATTGTGGCTCTGATCAGAATGGTCCGTAGTGGTAGCCCAGCACCATCTGCTTCTTCTGGTCTCAGGGTAGATGGGTCTGTGGTTTGTGTAGGCTGTTAGCCCTGTAGACTAGTTTCTGCTCTGAGACTTTGGTTTCCTTCTTTCTCTTTTGCTCCTAACGAGTAGAGACCAATAGTTGTATCTTAGATAGCTGCTTGCAAGCTTTTAAGGTCCCAGATGCTACTCACCTCGGGTGCAGAATGTGAACTTTGTGATGCTAGTTGACTAAGCTGTCCCATGAGGCTGAGGACCTAAGCCTTCAAACCCAGAAAGCCATTCTCGCAAGGTGTTTGGTTATGTCTGAGAAGTATCTGTAACTGTGTCCTGTATGAATATATAAGCATGCACACACATCTGTATATACACATATGTATAGATAACTCCTCTTATAGTTCCTTAACTATTATTGTAGTGTATTTCGGTTATTTATTGCTGTGTATAAACCATCCCAAAACTTAAGGACTTAAAACGACAACTATTTTATTTGCTCATGCTTCCCAGTTCTCTGGCTCAGAAGTTCAGGCAGTTAGGGGTGGCCATCAGGGGTAGTTCTAGACAGAAGCTGAAGATTTCAAGAAAAACCTTTCCTTTCCTGATATACAACCATCCCTTCCATTTGCCCCTTCTTTTTCTTCCTTCTAGAATGTTGACATGAAGCTGAAGATGGAGCCTCAGAACAAAAACAAAGGTGAACATGATGTAGAAAATATGCAGACAGAAGCCACAACCTACGACTGCACACTTGAGGAGAAAGATAGAAGGAGCCTGGGTCATTCCTGACGTCCTGAAGCTGCTGCTCCGGTCCTAGGCTCGATTTATTCCTGTGTCTGATGAGTTAACCCAATTTTGTTGAGCTGTTTTCTGTTGTGTGTAGCTGAACATGTTCTTGGTGAATATACAAGCTATCGTAAGTTAGCTCCTAACCAGTCTTCCTGCTTGAAGGCTCTACGGGTTAGATAGCAGTACGACTTGGTGTGTCAGAAATACAAGAGCTGTCACAAAGCAATACACCAACTTCTATAGCATTCCCTGCTAACTGCAGAGATTTATCAATTATTATATTATATTATTAAGAAACATTTTGATGTAGTTATATTGTCTTATTTCACTCGAAGATTTTTCCTATTGTTATAACAGTATTGTACGTTAGTATTATTTTACCTAACATTATATGATAAGCAGGTTTTCATGTTAACGCTGTCTCTTAAACAAATAGCTGTTTAATATTTTACTTAACTTTTTGCATCACCTATTCACTGAATAAGGAGCCCTGGTGGCGCAACGGTTAAGCGCTCGGCTGCTAACTGAAAGGTAGACTGTTCCAACCCACCAGGCGCCCTGCGGGAGAAAGCTGTGGCAGTCTGCTTCTGTAAGGATTACAGCCTTGGAAACCCTATGGGGGCAGTTCTACTCTGTCCTGTTGGGTTGCTGTGAGTCGGGATCAACTCAATGGCTATGAGTATTCACTGAGGACTACATTCAAGTCACTGGATTAAGTATTGTGAGTACACATCCATGAATAAGACAAGACCCCTCCCTGAAGGTTCTTTTAAACTCCAAAAGACACAAACGTATACATGGAACATATATGGCATATACATATGTGACCTTAAGCATTTAATTCTTTATATTTATTTAATTCTTATGCTTATTTAATTCTATATATGTATGCTTAGAGAACAGAAATATTCTGATTTCCTTTCCAAGTGTTCCTTGTACTGCTCATTTCTGCTAGCCTTGTCTGCTGGATTTGCCTTGGCATGATGAGTAGAGTACTTTTCCCATGAAGTAATGTCAAAACCAAGACTTTAAACTCTCAAGCTGCAACTTTAAGTGACCCATGACTGCCAGTTTTTGTTTTCATTAACAGTAAATGCTATCAAATGTAAATATCAATATTCTGTTGCTTTCTCTTTTCGCAATTACTGGTAACAGTTAATTCCCCAACATCCTGGTGCTGAAAAAGATTGTCATTTCTGGTTAGCACGCTGAGAGGGAAGCAATGAGGAACGTGACTCAGCCAGCACAATGAAAGACCTGAGATTTGAAAACGGCTTGATCCTAGCAACACTGTGCTGAGATTACGTGGAGAAGACAGCCAACTTGTATAGACGGTGAGCAGATACCTCCTTCCCTATGAGTGCTAAATCCAAGATAAAATGCTTTCCATGACCATGTATATAAGGGCAATTTACTCTTTAACTCAAAAGAAGTTCCTGTGTGCATGTATCCAATCTACCTAAAGTGAAAGAAAAGTCAAACTGTTATTATCTAACGAATTGCTGTCAAGTCGATTCCGACTCATAGCAACCCTGTGAGGCAGAGTAGAATTGCCCCATAGGGTTTCCAAGGAGCAGCTGGTGGATTTGAACTGCCCACCTTTTGGCTAGCAGTTGTAGCTCACTGTGGCCCTTAACTACGGCACCACCAGGGCTAGGCAACTGGATTACAGTACTATTGTTTTTAAACCTGTAAATCTGTTATCGAAAAATTCTGCCTCGATGTTGTTACTAATGGGCCAACTCCTTGGACTTATCTGAAGGAAGATTTCTATTTCTCTGTGAGCGAGCTTAGTGCTCTTGGGATTCTAGAGCAAGACAAGATTTTGGATGAAGTTTATTTACCTCAAGTTTTAAATATGGTATTCATGGAAGAAGGTTGGAAAATGCTTCTGGGGAGTATGTCAGAGCAACTGAAGGTACAGAATTTAATCAACGTGAATTAATTACACACTCAGAGGTAGACTAGTTTAGAGCCTGACATCAACAGCTTGACAAATGTAAATTTAAAATTTATATTTTCATAAAGTGATGGAATATTCACTTTGCAGAACATTTCCAAGTTTTAAAAATATTTCTCGGTTATAATCGGTCTCTTGAAACTCACTCCTTTTCTCTGCTTCTGATGAGGCAGCAGGGGGCCTTTGTCTGGGAAAGATGACGGTAAGTACAAGGCCTGGTGAAAAGTGAAACAGATAAAATACGAATAGGCTGAGTTCTGAAACGCTTAAGCAAGATCACAGACTATCCTGGTTGTCTGAGATTGGGCCTTGTAAACTGCCTAGTCACCTGCTTAACTGTTCCTGTCTTCCCAGGAGCCGTGTGCCCTTGGAATCCCCTCCAGTTTGGAATTGGTGTGATTCCTACACCACATACTGAAAGTGCCGTCTGAGCTCACTGATTTGAGGTCCGTAGGAGACTGTTCCTTCAGAGAAGTTCCTAGATGTTTTCCAGACCATTTACTCAACTGATTCCACTCACATTTATTGGATGTGTATGTGCTGGGCACTGGTTACGCAAAATGATAAATAAGACAGTCTCTGTCTCTGTCAGTTCCTTTCTTTCTTTCTTTTTATTGTGCATTAGGTGAAAGTTTACAGAGCACATTAGATTCCCATTTGATAGTCTGTACATAAAGTATTTCATGGCCTTGGTTTCATTCCCCACAATGTGTCAGCACTCCCCCATTTCCACCCTGGGTTCTGCATTTCCCTTTGTCCTGATTTTCTGCCCATTCCTGCCTTCTCATCTTTGCTTTTGATCAAGTATTGCCCTTTTGATCTCGTATAATTGATTCTTCTAAGAAGCACATTCCTCTCAGGTGTTATTGTTTAGTTTATGGGACTGTCTATTGGTTGGTTGGAAGGTGGTCTCCTGGAATGGCTTCAATTCCAGGTCAGAAGGGTGTGTTAGGGTCATAGTCTTGGGGATTCCTCCAGTCTCTGTCAGACCAGTAAGTCTAGTCTTTTTTATGAATTTGAATTTTTGTTCTATATTTTCCTCCTGCTCCGTCTAGGACCCTCTTTGGTGATCCCAGTTACAGCGGTCGGTAGTGGAAGCCAGGCGCCATCTATTTCTTCTGGTCTCAGGGTCATGTAGGTTGTGGTTCACGTGGTCCATTACTAATCGCTCCCTTGAATCTTTGGTTTTCTTCTGTCAGTTTCTTAAAGTCTGTGAAACCACTACCCAAAATCACCTGGGAAAGCCTGCTACTGGTTCCCTAGCCCCATCCTAGATCTGTGAAGCAGAATCTCAGAATGCAGGGCAGGGGGTGCGCTTTGAAGACATTCCCTAGGCACTGCTGCTCCAAGAGCTCACAGCGGGGAGGGGGCCTTGGGACTGGCGTGGCCAAATGAGAAAGCAAATAAATACATTATAGTGTGGTAAGTACTATAATAAGAGTATATATGCAAGGTAGTAAGAATATAGAGCAGAAGGATTAAGCCTAACTCTACCGTTAGAGGAGAGGGTGCCAGCGGTAGACTCTTGAAAGTATCTAAAATTATTATTCCTCAGAATGTTAAGAAACTCAGTTGTTTCTACTTGGAGAACACCTAAATCTAATAGGAAAAAAAAAAAAAAAAACTCTACTTTTAAAAAAGCTAATTCCCAGGTAAAATTAAAGACCTTAATAACCACGGGCCAGAGGTCATCTTAGTTACTAGCGCTTGTACTTGGTGAATGTGTCCTAAGGCTATAACCAGGGTGTGGGCACAGGCTTGGTTACAAAGCTGTTCTCTGCAGCAAATAAACTGGGCTTGAGTACTTATTTTTATCAAGTCCCAGACTCTGTTCTCTGTGGGACAACTTCCCTGTCCCCACTCCTTATATGGGACAGGAGATATCCTGGACCATACATGGTTCCCATTATTTGCTCTTCAGGCTCTGCAAAGCAAATACTCTCTATCTTTATAGAAAAGATTTTTTTTTTTCCCACCCACTGAAATAAAACTTAGAACTTGAATTCATCAATAGCCCTGGCCAGCCACACTGGGCAGGCCATGGACAAAGCATAACTTTGCATGTTGATGTCCAAACTCAGTGTGACGGTTTGGGCAGAGTGGCCGTGCTAGCCGTTGACTGAGGAGAGATGGTTCTGGCACCCTCCTGCCTTTTCTCTCTGACTCTCCCACTCCTAGACCATGGCTTTTCATCCTGGCCTCTACTTGGGAATCACTGGAGCCATCTGAAAATATATACATATCTGTTTTCAGTCTCTATACCAGAGTGATCAAATCAGAGCCTCGCTCAGACCCGTGCATTGAACAGGGACTGTGCCTTATTTATCTTTTCCTGTCTGGTTTCTAGTATAGAGCACCTGACGCATATTAGATGCTCAGTCAATGACACCATGTATTCATTTCACATGTACTCACTGAGCATGTATGTTCTGGACACGTCTGTGTGCTGGGGACATCGCAGAGAAGAAAACAAATGGTTAACGCTCACACCCTAAACGGGGCGGGGAGCAGGGAGGAGGGAGACAGGCATGTAGTATCCCAAGGTGATGAAAGGTTTAAAATAAACTCAAGCATGATAAGGACAGGATGAAGGAGCCCTGGTGGTGCAGAGGTTAAGTGCTCGCCTGCCAACCGAAAGATTGGTGGTTGGAACCCACCAGCTGCTCTGTGGGAGAAAGATGTGGCAGTCCACTTCTGTAAAGATTGCAGCCTTGGGAACCCTATGGGGAAGTTCTGCTCTATCCTCTAGGGTCGCTACAAGTCAAAATGGACTTGACAACAGCAGAGGTTTTTTTCCGTGTAAAGGTAAGACAATCGTATAATTTACCAAACGAGGACAATTTAAGAGTAGTTATTCACACTTATGTCAGGATAATACAGATGGAACCAAGTCTTTCCTGGATAAACTGAGATGTAAGGAGCCCTAGTGGCATGGTGGTTTTGGCTTCGAACGAAAAGTTGGGCGATTTGAACCCACCAGCTGCTCTGCGGGAGAAAGACGTGGCAGCCTGCTTCCATACAGATGACAGCCTTGGAAACCCCATGGGGTCACTGAGTTGGAATTGACTCTACAGCCACAGGCTACGGTCACCCTAGGTAAGGGGTAGAGTCCCATGAGAGAGGGAATGAAGTGCTGTTTTAAAGTGATGCTCTGTTCAAAAAGCCCTCCATAAAAAGGAAATATTTGCCCAGAAGCCTCAGGAAAATGAAGGAGGGAGCTTTGAGGATATGGGGGAAGAGCATTCCAGGTAGCTGGAACAGCACATGCAAAGGCTCCCAGGTAGGGACAAGCTTGGTATGTTAGAAGCCTGTGTGATTGGAGTGGAATGGACAAAAGAGAGCGCTGCAGAGAAGGTCAAAGGGGGGGCCAGGGGCCATATTGCCTAAAACCTTTTAAGCCCATGGTAAGGATTTTGGATTTTAGTTTGAGACTGTGTGGTGAAATGAGTTCCTTTATGTGGCCTTTTGCCTTGGTTCTTTGGAAAAACAGCTCCAGAGATTTTTCACCTAAGCCCTGAGGAGTTACCTTTGTTCTAGCTTTCTACCCCAGAAGGTTTGTTACCTTTGTCCAGGTTGACTGACATTTCCTGGGTAAGTTGTAAATAACTTGGTTTCAGACTTTTTGTCTGGTCCTGGCTGCAGCCTGCCCTGTGATTGGATTGCATCTTGCAAGGATTGGTCAATAGACTATGCAAATGAGGTGAATTGTAGCCAAGCTGTGCCTCCTATGCAAATGAAGTGTCTGTCCCTACTGAGAGGGGACTGGTCAGTTCGTGGCCCTGGTGGGACTTGAAATTGACAAGCAGTTTGTGTATTTAAGTAGCCAGTCCCACAGAGGTTTGTCAGACAGAAAGAAGCAAAAAGAGAAGCAGCAGGAAGAAACAGAAAGAAGGAAGTAAGAAGAAGTAGAGAGAGAGAAGAGGCAAGGAGTCTCCTAAAAGAGCTGTAACACTGGAGACAGTCAGAGGCCTGGAAGGGGCCTAGCAGCAGAACTGGTGGTGACAAATGGCAGGGCCAAGAGGAGCCTGTCCTCAGGGGGCCGAGAGGAGCTGAGAGAGCTGTCCTGCACCGAAGAAGGGAGACTGTGCACACAAGCTTCCTGATCCTGATCCTGAGTTGTACCCTGTTCCTTAATGAACCATTTAACTGTAAGTATGGTCATTGAGTCCTGTATGGCCATTGCAATGGATTATCAAACCCAGCAGAGAAGTAGAGAGTGCTGTGGGAAGGACGGCTGGTGTCAGAATTGGTAAAAAGGTTGGAGAGTGGAGGTGTGTCTGACCTCCACCTCACAGGACTCAGCTTTGTCCTGATCTTGATTTAAATCATCCCCCATGAAGTTAGGCAGGCTCTGACAATACCACTATTAGTCCCATGCAGTGTACATTTTAAAAGGATCCCTCTGGCTGCTGTGTGGAGAACGGTATTGTAGGATTGCAGGGGTGAAAGCAGGGAGATCAGTGAATAGTCCAGGCAAGAAATTATGGAGGATTGGAATAGTGTGGTAACCTTGGCAATGATGAGAAGTGGTTCGATTCTGAATACGTGCTGAGAGGATCGGCTGTTGAGTTCGATATGGGGGCTTGAGGGAAACTGAAGAGCCAGGGATGAACTGTAAGAACGGAGTTGTGACTTGTTGAGATGGTAAAGATTGTGGTAGGAGCAGGCTTTGGTGGGGTGGGGGGGTGGGGGCACAAGGGAAACAAGGGTAGTTTTGGACAAGTTAAGATTGAAATCTATTAGGTATCCAAGTGGAGGTGGTGAGTAACCAAAAGAACCAAACCCGTTGCCGTCAAGTCGATGCCAATAGCGACCCTATAGGACAGGGTGGAACTGCCCCATAGAGTTTCAAGGAGCACCTGGTGGCTTCAAACTGCCAACCATTTGGTTAGCAGCCATAGCTCTTAACCACTATGTCAGCAGGGTTTCCGGAGGTGGTGAGTAGGCAGTTGGATATTGAAGTCTATAGTTTAGGGGAGAAGCTAGGGGTGCTCGCTACCATCTCTAAGAATGTCCTCGTTTCTAACCCTACAGAGCACACACCTTAGTTCCTTCATTTGACATGAAGATTCATTACCAGCTGCTGTTGAGTCAGTTCTGGCTCATGGCAACGCCATGTGTGTCAGAGTAGAGATGTGCTCCACATGGTTTTCAGTGGCTGATTTTTTGGAAGTAGGTCACCAGGCCTTTTTTCTGAGGCACCTCTGGGTGGACTTGAACCTCCAACTTTTTGGTTGGTATAACCATCGGCACCACCCAGGGACTCTGAAGGTTAATTGTTGTTGGGTGCCCCGGAGTCTGTTCTGACTTATAGTGACCCCGTGTGACAGAGTAGAACTGCCCCATAGGGTTTTCTAGACTGTAATCATTATAGGAGCAGATCGCCAAGTTTTTCTCGTCTGGAGCCGCTGGTGGGTTCCGACTGCCAACCTTTCAGTCAGCAGCTGAGCATTTAACCCATGCACCACCTGGGTCCTATGAAGGTTAAACCAAAACTAAACCCGTCGAGTAGAACTGCCCCATAGAGTTTCCAAGACTGTAATCTTTACGGACAGGGACTGCCACATCTTTCTCCTGCAGGGCAGCTGGTGGGTTCGAACCACTGACCTTTCAGTTAGCA